GCGCAGTGGCCCTTCTCGTGGTTGCCCGCTTGGCGGCCGCGTGATGAGCCTTGCGTGCACTCACCCAAAATCCGCCCGTAGGGGGACATGCCCGACCTAACACAAGCCCCCCCTGCTGGCTTGCGAAAGTTCCTTTTCGTCTGCGCCACTCGCTCGCTCGGGCCCAGCCTCGCCACTGCTGCTTGCTCTCACGTCGGCATGCTGCGCGCAGTGGCCCCTTTCACGGCCGCCCCCGCGCGCGCCCCTGTGCAGCGCGGCTCTCTGGGAGCGAGTCATGCGCCACCCCACTTGGCGACTGCGCGAGGGCCCTGCGCGCTTGTCCAAAATCCGTTTGCAGGGGGACATGCCCGACCTAGCTCAAGCCCCCTCTGCGGACTTGCGTTTTTTTCTTTTCGTCTGCGCCACTCGCTCGCTCGGCCTCAGCCTCGCCACTGCCGCATGCTCTGGCGTCGGCCCGCTGCGCGCAGCGGTCCCTCTCACGGCTGCCCCCATCGCGCGCCCCCGTGCAGCGCTGCTCTCTAGGGGTGAGCCATGCGCCACCCCACTTGGCGGCTGCGCGATGGGCCCTGCGCGAACTCGTCCACAATCCGCCAGTCGGGGGACATGCCCGACCGAAAACAAGCCCCCTCTGTTGGCTTGGGTTTTTTTTGTTTGCGCCACTCGCTCGCTCGGCCCCAGCCTCGCCACTGCTGCCGGCTCTCGCGTCGGCCTGCGGCGCGCAGTGGCCCCTCTCACGGCTGCCCCCGTCGCGCGCCCTCGTGCAGCGCGGCTCTCTGGGGGTGAATCATGCGCCGCCCCACTTGGCGGCTGCGCGAAGGCCCTGCGCGCGCTCGCCCAAAATCCGCCAGTGGGGGGGCATGCCCGACCGAACACAAGCCCCCTCTGCTGGCTTGCTTTATTTCCTTTTCGTCGGCGCCGCTCGCTCGCTCGGGCCCAGCCTCGCCACTGCTGCTTGCTCTCGCGTCGGCCTTCTGCGCGCAGTGGCCCCTCTCACGGCCCCCCTGTCGCGCGCCCTCACGCAGCGCGGCTCTCTGGGGGCGGGCCACGCGCCGCCCCGCTTGGCGGCTGCGCGCGGGCCTTGCGCGCACTCGCCCAAAATCCGCCCGCGGGAGGGCATGCCCGATCTAACACGCGCCCCCTCTGCTGGCTTGCGAAATGCCCCCATCGTCTGCGCCGCTCGCTCGCTCGGCCCCAGCCCCGCCACTGCTGTTTGCTCTCGCGTCGGCCCGCTGCGCGCAGAGGCCCCCCTCACGGCCGCCCCCGCGCGCGCCCTCGCGCAGCGCGACTCTCCGGGGGTGGGCCACGCGCCACCCCGCTCGGTCGCCGCGCGAGGGCCTTGCGCGCACTCGTCCAAAATCCGCCTGTAAGGGGACATGCCCGACCTAACACAAGCACCCTCTGCTGGCTTGCGAAATTTCCCTTTCGTCTGCGCCACTCGCTCGCTCGGGCCCAGCCTCGCCACTGCTGCTTGCTCTCGCGTCGGCCTGCGGCGCGCAGTGGCCCCTCCTCTCGGCTGCCCCCTCGCGCGCCCCTGCGCAGCGCGGCCCCCCGGGGGTGAGCCATGCGACACTCCATTTGGCGGCTGCTCGAGAGCCCTGCGTGCACTCGTCCACAATCCGCCTGTAGGTGGACGTGCCTGACCTAACACAAGCCGACCCCCTCTGCCAGCTCGCGTTATTCCCTTTTCGTCAGCGCCGCTCGCTCGCCCGGCCCCAGCCTCGCCACTGCTGCTTGCTCTCACGTCGGCCTGCCGCGCGCAGTGGCCCCTCTCACGGCTGCCCCCGTCGCGCGCCGCTGCGCAGCGCGGCTCTCTGGGGGTGAGTCATCCGCCACCCCTCCTGGCGGCTGCGCGAGCGCCTTGGCTTCACCCGCCCAGAATCCGCCCGTGGGGGGGCATGCCCGACCTAACATAAGCCCTTTTCCTGTTGGCTTGCGCCATTTCCTCGGCGCCCGCGCCACTCGCTCGCTCGGCCCCGGCCCCGCCACTGCTGCTTGCTCTCGCGTCGGCCTGCTGCGCGCAGTGGCCCCTCTCACGGCTGCCCCCGCGCGCGCCCCCGTGCAGCGCGGCCCCCCAGGGGCGAGCCACGCGCCACCCCGCTCGGCGGTTGCGCGAAGGCCCTGCGCGCTCTCGCCCAAAATCCGCCCGCATGGAGGACATGCCCGACCTAACACAAGCTACCTTCTGCTGGCTTGCGTCATTTCCTTTTCGTCTGCGCAGCTCGCTCGCTCGTCTCCAGCCTCGCCACTGCTGCTTGCTCTCAGGTCGGCCTGCCGCGCGCAGTGGCCCCTCTCACGGCTGCCCCTCGCGCGCCGCTGTGCAGCGCGGCTCTCTGGGGGTGAGCCACGCGCCACCCCGCTTGGCGGTTGCGCGAGGGCCCTGCGTGCACTCGCCCACAATCCGCCAGCGGGTGGACATGCCCGACCTAACACAAGCCCCCTTCTGCTGGCTTGCGTTATACCCTTTTCGTTTGCGCCACTCGCTCGCCCGATCCCCAGCCTCGCCACTGCCGCTTGCTCTCACGTCGGCCTGCTGCGCGCAGCGGCCCCTCTCACGGCTGCCTCCATCGCGCCCCTCGTGCCGCGCGGCTCTCCGGGGGCGAGCCATGCGCCACCCCATTTGGCGACCGCGCGAGGGCCCTGCGTGCACCCGCCCAGAAGCCGCCTGTAGGGGGGCACGCCCGACCTAACACAAGCCCCCCTCTGCTGGCTTGCGTCGTCTCCTTTTGCGCACGCGCCACTCGCTCGCTCGGCCCCAGCCTCGCCACTGCTGCTTGCTCTCGCGTCGGCCTGCTGCGCGCAGTGGCCCCTCTCACGGCTGCCCCCTCGCGCGCCCCTGCGCGGCGCGGCTCTCGCGGGGTGAGCCGCGCGCCACCCCACTTGGCGGTCGCGCGGGGGCCTTGCGTGCACTCGCCCAAAATCCGCCTGCATGGGGGCATGCCCGACCTGACACAAGCCCCTTTCTGCTGGCTTGCGTTCGCTTCTTTTCGTCAGCGCAGCTCGTTCGCTCGGCCCCAGCCTCGCCACCGCTGCTTGCTCTCACGTCGGCCTGTTGTGCGCAGTGGCCCCTCTCACGGCTGCCCCCATCGCGCGCCCCTGTGCAGCGCGGCTTCCTGGGGGTGAACCACGCGCCACCCCGCGCGGCGCCTGCGCGAGGGCCCTGCGCGCGCTCGTCCAAAATCCGCCAGTGGGGGGGCATGCCCGACAGAACACGAGCCCTTTGTTGTTACTTGCTTGCGTTATTTCCTTTTTCGTCTGCGCCACTCGCTTTCCTGGCCTCAGCCTCGCCACTGCTGCTGGCTCTCGCGTCGGCCTGCCGTGCGCAGTGGCCCTTCCCACGGCTGCCCCCTCGCACGCCTTTGTCCAGCGCGGCTCCCTGGGGGTGAGCCATGCGCCACACCACATGGCGGCTGCGTGAGGGCCCTGCGCGCACTCGTCCAAAATCCGCCTGCATGGGGGGCATGCCCGACTTGACACAAGCCCCCTCTGCTGGCTTGCGTTATTTCGTTTACGCCTGCGCCACTCGCTCGCTCGGCCCCAGCCTCGCCACTGCTGCTGGCTCTCGCGTCGGCCTGCTGTGCGCAGTGGCCCCTCTCACGGCTGCCCCCTCGCGCGCCCTCGCGCAGCGCGGCTCTTTTGGGGGTGATCCATGCGCCACCCCATTTGGTGGCTGCGCGAGGGCCCTGCGTGCACTCGTCCAAATTCCGCTTACAGGGGGGCATGCCCGACAGAACACAAGCCCCCCCTGCTTTTCGTCTGCGCCCCTCGCTCGCTCGGCCCCTGCCTCGCCACTGCTGCTTGCTTTCACGTCGGTCTGCTGCGCGAACTGGCCCCTCTCTCGGCTGCCCCCTCGCGCGCCCTTGTGCAGCGCGGCTTTCTGGGGATGAGCCATGTGCCACCCCACTTGGTGGCTGCGCGAGGGCCTGCGTGCACTCGTCCAAAACCCGCCTGTTGGGGGACATGCCCGACCTAGCGCCAGGGGGCAGTGCGCCTTCTGCTTGCCGGTGGTGGGCGCGGGGCTGCGGGCCTGTGGGAGGCCGCCTCCCTGGCCGCGCGGCGGCCGACTTCCCCCCAGGAAGGAAGGCCTGCCCGACGCGCGCCCAGGGAGCGGTCCTGGGGCCGATGGTTGAGAGAATGGGGGGGGGACAAAGGAGGCGAGGAGGAGGAGGAGGAGGAGGAGGAGGAGGAGCAGGAGGAGGGCGAGGAGGAGGAGGAGAAAACGGAGACGAGGAAAAAGGGTGGGGGCGAGGAGGAGAAGAAGGAGGAGGTTCAGAATGGGTGGACGTTAGGTCAGAGCACCCGAGGTATAGACCCGCCCCGTCGCCCGTGTGGCAGCGAAGTTTCGGAAACGAAAGGGATCCCAGGGGCCTAAGGGGGAGCACGGGCTACAGTCAGGAGTTGTTGCTCAGCTTGTCGCGCCGGCAGTTCTCGCCCACCACGCAACGGTGTGAGCTTTTCCCAGCCTCGATTCGCAGAGTGGCACGACATCGGTTTGCAGAGCATGACGTGTCGTTGGGGCCGCCGCCACAACACGCTGAGCAGCACTTCCTCACCGCAGCCCCGTGACGCGGCAGGACACAGGCTGGCCTCGGAGCCGTCGTTGACGCTGCTTGCCAGCGGGGCATGTTGGTGCTGTCGCCCTCGAAGGGATTCATACTTAGGGTCGCGCTTGGCTTAGTGTCCTCCAATCCGCGGGAGCTTGTCCATCGTGGGAGAAGGGATGCCTTTCGATGCGACTGCCAGCTGGTTGACAGGAGGGGGAGAAGGAGAGAGAGGGGGGGAGAGGAGAAGGGGGGGGAACAGAGGGGAAGGAGAAGGAGGAGGAGGAGGAGGAGGAGGAGGAGGAGGGGGAGGAGGAGGAGGAGGAGGAGGAGGAGGAGGAGGAGGAAGGAGGAGGAGGAGAAGAGAGGGAAGCAGGGGGGGCGGAGCAGGAGGAAGGAGGCGAGGGAGGGAGGTGGACACGCCTCGGCACCGAGCTGGCAGAGAGCGCACGCGCCGTCTCCAGGTCTGCGCGGACATCTTCTCCAGCTTCACCTGCGCGCGGTACCAGAAGTACGGGTGGTGCCAGAGGCTGGCGAGCCCCCTCGCCGAAGCCGCGGTGGTCTTAAGTCGGGCGTGTCCATCTACAGGGGAAAATTCAAACATTGACAAAAAATAGTCTGGGGACGATTGATTATAGTATTTTTGACTATGTTTGAATATGTCTTGACTGTTTTGTGTTTTTCGTCCAATCTCCGCCTGTAGGGGGACATGCCCGACCTAGCAGAAGCCCCCTCTGCTGGCTTGCGTTATTTCCTTTTCGTCTGCGCCACTCGCTCGCTCGGCCCCAGCCTCGCCACTGCTGCTTGCTCTCACGTTGGCCTGCTGTGCGCAGTGGCCCCTCTCACGGCTGCCGCCTCGCGCGCCCTGGTGCAGCGCGGCTTTCTGGGGGTGAGCCATGCGCCACCCCACTTGGCGGCTGCGTGAGGGCCCTGCGTGCACTCGCCCTGACACCACCTGGCTCCCGCCGCGTCGATGCGCGCGCGACACCAAAACAAATGCAGTCCAGGTTGACCTCACAGCTGGGTTCGAGCGCTTCCACCACCCGTGCGGATGCAATGAATGTGGCGTCTCCCGCCGCATCTTCCTCTCGGCGCCCCTGGAGCTCAGAGGGGGGCAGACGCGCACTGGCGCCTGATCGATCGAGCGGCTGAAGGAGACTGCTTCCGCCCTCTGACCGACCGTCGCCTAGCCTCCTGAGCCCAGACATGCGACGTCCTGATTCTTTCAGGGCGGCGTCCCTGGAAGTCCCGACCCTTTCCCCGGGACCGGTTTTTCATCCTGCGCAGTTTTTGACGGTCCCGGGGCCCGGCGAGGGCCCCCGAGGGTCTTGGTGGTCTCCAAACCAGGTGGTGAGACACCCGGTGGTGACCCCGATTCCCCCCAAAAATAATTCTGGGTCACCACCGGGTTTGGGGACACGCGGTCGCCACGAGGTTTTGCGTTTCCTGGGCCAGCCAGCGCTCGAAAACCATTACCCGAATCGCCCAAAACTCACCACCGGGTGTTCTCACCACCACGTTTGGGGACCACCAAGGGTCGAACATGGTGAAACGTGCTGTCCTGATTTTTTGCTCGACGCGAGCACGTCTGGGCGGCAGCCTGAAGGCGGCTGCACGGGGCCGTCCGGGGGCCCCCCCTTGCCGCGAGGCGCAGGCGTTCGCGGGCGCGCGCCCTGCCGGGGAGCCCCCGCCGGTGGCGGGTCTGTGCCCCCACCACGGCTCTGCCGCCCCTCCTCCTCCTCCTCCTCCTCCTCCTCCTCCTCCTCCTCCTCCTCCTCCTCCTCCTCCTCCTTCTCCCCCTTCTTCTTCCTCCTCCTCCTCCTCCCTCCTCCTCCTCCTCCTCCTCCTCCTCCTCCTCCTCCTCCTCCCCCTCCTCCTCCTCCTCCTCCTCCTCCTCCTCCTCCTCCTCCGCCTCCTCCTCCTCCTCATCATCCTCCTCTCCTCCTCCTCCTCCTCCTCCTCCTCCTCCTCCTCCTCCTCCTCCTCCTCCCCTCCCCTCCTCCCCCTTCTTCTCCTCCTCCTCCCCTCCCCCCTCCTCCTCCTCCTCCTCCTCTCCTCCTCCTCCTCCTCCTCCTCCTCCTCCTCCTCCTCCTCCTCCTCCTCCTCCTCCTCCTCCTCCTCCTCCTCCTCCTCCTCCTCTGGTGCCGCACCTCCGGCTCCTCGTCCCTCCCCTCGGCGGCGAGCGAGGGGGGGGAAGCGAGAAGGAGCAGGCCTTCTCTCGGGGGCGACGACAGGGCCGAATAGCCCGGGGGCGGGCATTACACGTATTCGCCCGGGAGCCTCGCCGAAGACAGGGATCCTCGGCGCCCTTGGATACATGTATTGCTCCCCCCTGGGCTATTCGCCCCTGTCGTCGCCTCTGATTCTCCGAAGGCGGCGGGACTTCTCAGAAGAAGCCCTCCGGCCTCCTGGAAGGTTTTTCTATCAAGTCTTCGGGGAAGTCTTGCAGAACGCCGGAGAAGGCCGGGGGACTCCCGAGCCTTTTGAGAAGGCCGCCCCTTTTCATTTCCCCCCTGCGCTTAGGTCGGGCATGTCCTCGTACAGGCGGATTCTGGACGAAAAATAGAAAGTATTCAAAGAATATTCAACTATATTCAAAAGTATTTCTTTGCAAACAAAAATGTCCAAACTGTTTCTTTACTATGTTTGAACATTCCTCCTGTAGAGGGATAGGCCCGACCTAAGCCTAGCAACGCGCTGCGGAGCCTCACGCGCCCACCCGAGGACCCACCCGAGGGCCCCCGCGCGCCCACACGCGCGCGCCCACCCGAGGGCCGCCCAGAGGGCCGCGGGAAGGCCGCCGAGGCGCGCGGGAAGCGCGCCATCGCCGCGCGCCGCGGCGCGCCGAGGCTTATGATGTTCCAACGTTACTTCAGCCTTGATCACCGGGAAGGCTTCTTAGAGGGAAGCTGCTGCTCAGAAGGCGCCGGCCCTACATCTCCAGACGAGGCCCGCGCCTTCGAAGAAGCAGGGGTGCTTCTAAGAAGCCTCACCCCTGCCCCTGACCCCCTCTGCGCTTATGATGTTCCAACCTAGCACCGAAACTGGAGGCTCTTGTCACGTGTCGGGCCCTGGGAGGCGATGCTCTTGCGCGACACCGTTTCGATGCTTCCCTGGGTGCTCGAGATCCTCGCTGGGATGTGGTCCCATCGAGTACGATGGGAGCAACCTAGGACCTAAGCCGAGGCCGCCACATCCTCCAGGAGCGCCGCCCCGGCTCGGCCAGCGGGGCCTCTCGCCGCGCCGCTCGGCCTCGCGCAGGGTTACGCTGCTCCCATCGTACTCGAGGACCACATCCCTGAAGTGAGTTCGAGCACCCAGAAAAGTATCGAAACAGCGTCGAAAGAGTATCGGCTCCCAGGGCCCGACACGTGAAAATCCTCCAATGTCGGTAGTTCCCTGGTGCTCGAAATCCTTCCTGGTGGTCAAGGCTAAAGTAGGTTGGAACATCATAAGCGCAGAGGGGGTCAGGGGCAGGGGGGGGGGCTTCTTGGAAGCACCCCTGCGTCTTAGAAGGCGCGGGCCTCGTCTGGAGCTGTAGGGCCGGCGCCTTCTAAGCAGCAGCCTCCTTCTGAGAAGCCTTCCCCCCTCCCCAGGACTTGTCGTCCACGCGCAGAGGGGGGGGTGGGGGGAGGAGGGATAAGGCTTCTTGGAAGCACCCCTGCGTCTTAGAAGGCGCGGGCCTCGTCTGGAGATGTAGGACCGGCGCCTTCTAAGCAGCAGCCTCCTTCTAAGTGATCAAGGCTAAAGTAACGTTGGAACATCAGAAGCCTCGGCCCGCCGCGGCGCGCGGGGATGGCGCGCTTCCCGCGCGCCTCGGCGGCCTTCCTGCGGCCCTCTGGGCGGCCCTCGGGTGGGCGCGCGCGTGGGGGCGCGCGGGGGCCCTCGGGGGGGCCCTCGGGTGGGCCCCCGGGTGGGCGCGCGAGGCTCCGCAGCGCGTTGCTATAGGCTTAGGTCTAAGCAGCAGCCTCCTTCTGAGAAGCCTTCCCCCCTCCCCCATACCCCCCTGCGCGCGCCGCCAGCATCCTCCCGGAGCGCCGCGCCGGCTCCCTCCGGCGCGGCCCTTCGCCGCGCCGCGCCGGAGCGAGCGAGAGGCCCAGCCACGCGCTCGACGACACATTTTTTGTCGTCGGCGGCTGAGCAGAGCCACTGCGCTGGCGATGGGGCGTCGGTGACGACAGGAAGCGCGAAGGAAGCCACCACGCAGGAGGGGCAGGGAGGAGGCGCCCGGCGGCGGCGGTTCTCGACTGACACAGGCAGTTGGGGCCGTCCTGGGGGTCTGGGGTGGCCCAGTAGTGGTCTGTTGCTCTGCCCTCAGGGGCCGCTTTCCTCAGGAGCGAAAGAAGGACGTACACCTACATGAATCCACGCTGGTTTCGAGAGTACGCACTGCCCGAAAGTTCGTATCACGCGGCCGGTCTCGCAGATCGAGGGGCCGTGTTCATGTACATAGCTGGGCGCGTACGTCCTTTGTGGGCTCCCTATTTCCGGCGCCCGGGGCCGTGGAGTTCGGTTCCGGGGGGAGAAACTACACCAGATGGACGCGGGGAGGGGTCCAGGGACCGATTCTGGGCGGATTTGGCCTTATCCTCTTCCTCCTGGCCGATCTTCTGGGGGCCCAGACAGTTCAGACCCCCTGGCCGCCTCCAACAAAGCATGCTCTCGACAAGAGTGACCTTTCACCGGAGTAACCTGCGGTGCGGGCGCATTGGGGTCCCCAGATGGCTGAATGCGATGCGATAGCAGCGGCTTTCCCGCTCGGGCTTGGCACCCCCGCGCCCCCCCTAAAGCCGCGCACCAAAGGTCAATCTTGCGTGGAACCGAATGCTCGCGCCACTTAACAATCACAACGGCCCTCCCCAGATTTCGTCTCACGTCCTCGGGGGAGCTATCGAGTACGAGGTTCGAGGTTTACGGACGTTGTCGCAGGCTCTCGGCGTCTTGCCAGCCCTGGGATGTTCTCCAGCAGCTGCGCCTCGCCGAGAGCGTCCCAGGGGTGCCTGGATCGTCCCGACCGGCCGTCGGGAAGCTGAGTGATGATCCAGAAACCCAGACCCCTTCGCGTCGTGACAAGATGACGACGCAAGGTTTTGGCCGTTTTGGGCCTCCAGGGGCCCCCGTCGGGCCCTGGACCGTAAGAAACAGTTCGGGATGAAAAACTGGCCCTGGGGAGAGGGCAGGGACTTCTGGGGCCCTTGTATTGAAGAAGAAGCACATCACATGTTTGATAGTCGCCTTCGCTTGCCATCCCAGGGTCGGCCTTGCTCGGGAGTCGGGGTGCGGACTCTCAGCGCGTGTCGGCGAGCCAGGAGGCCGCTCTGCTGCGAGCGAGTTGGCCATCACGGCTCGAAGCTCGAAGCCGCCCTGTACGTGCGCTGCGCGCAAAGTTCGGCTCAGGCTCCCTGCTCAGGCTCATTGTCACCCTTCCACCTCCAGGTGTTTCCCAGGGGGCATCGGTTATTCTCAGCGGCGTCCGCGTTTGGTACGGCGACCCTGGCGAGACATGCGCGAACAGGCTTATGGTGCTGAGACTCCCGAGGCAGTTGATCAAGAGCAGACTGGAGGAAATGGCGCCGCGGATCGCGCAAGACTGCCCAACAGACAGCACCCTTCCCGTACCAGAGCTCAAGGCTTCCGGCTGCTCGCGGCCCTGACCTCTCGGCCTTGGCTTTTTTTGTCGGCGTGCCGGCTGGTTGCACGAATGGGTATTCGGCCAACGGGTCGGCTGGTGCATATGCTTGGTTGGAGTGGGTGGCAGGGCGCCCGTTAGGCACCAGTGGCACGTGCCGTGGGCGCAGTGCCGTAGGCACAGTGCCCTGAGTGCTGTGGGGTGGGTGGGTTGGGGGTACGCAAGGTTCGTGTCGTGTCGACTGGCGACGACCCCGCCGCCAGCGTTCAACGTTGATCGCTGGCGGCGGCCCAGAATCGGTCGACGTTGAACGATCGGACGTTGCGGAAACGGCCGATGGCTCAAGGTCGAAAGGTCCCCGCGGTGTCAGGAACCAACGCCCGGGTCGACACGACACGAACTTGCCGCAATTGCACGCCGTGGGCACCGTGTTTGATTTGCCGTGGACGCCACAGGCTGCCAATGGTGGATCTTCGATCTGGCGCGCGCCCCGTGAGGGCTGCACGTTAAGATTGTGGGTCGCCCCAGAATTCCCCCTCTGGAGGTTCGGGGGGTCGCGCGCCCATCAGGGTCGCACCCATTTCTGGAACTTCGAAGCAGCACCTGCGCATGTGAGGGCTGGATTCCGAGGTAAATCAGCGCCCGACAACTCCATCACTAGAGTTCAACTTGGCGCGAGCCCGTGAAAGGCGTTTCGAGGTAGGAATCCAGAGGCATGAATTACCACAGGTACTTTCATCATGGAGCCAGTATTATCTGTTGTCAGAGACCAAAAAACTGATGCACACGCATGTTGCATGTGTGTATAGATATACACCGATCTTTATATATATATACATACATACATACATACATGCATGCATGCATACATACATACATACATATATACATACATACATGTATATAGATATATATATATATATATATATAAACAAAACACCTACATATACGTATGCAAAGATACCTAGCCACATGTACATACAAGTGTGTTTGTGTGTATGTGTGTGTGCGTGTGGCAAACGACTAGAAGTCATCTGTTTCGTCCTGTTCGTGTTCCTCTTTCCCCTCCCCGTCCTCCCTCCCTCTTCTTCCTCCTTACTGTCCTCCTTCCCACTCCCCTCCTCTTCATTCAAAGGAGTTCCTGCGGAACTCACATCATCCTCACCCCTGGCGCGCCAGTAGGTCAGGCCCCACCGCGCCCCCAGGGACCACTTCTGGGGCGCGCACCGGAGCGCGCCGGGCGTGTCCCAGCAGGGCTCTCGCTCGAGACATCCTCGCAAAGTCGACCCCCGGCGCGCGAGCAGGTCGGGCCCCACCGCGCCCCAAGGGACCATTTCTGGCGCGCACACCGGGAGCGCGCCAGGCGTGTCCCAGCAGAACTCTGGCTCGAGACATCCTGGCAAGGCGCGCGAGGATGTCAGTCCCCTCGCCTCCTGCTCCACGCTCGCCTGATCCTCACCCGTGTGACCCTCACTCTCCTGATCCTCCCCCTCGCGAGCCTAGCCCTCCTGATCCTCACGCTCACTCTCCTCCAGAAGCGCACGCTTCGTCTTCTTCTTATACATACAGAAACTCCCAATTAACTGCAGAACGGCCGGCTAGTAATATATATATATATATAGAGAGAGAGAGAGAGAGATTGTCCTCCTCGCCCCCCCCTTGATCTTGTAGCCCTGTCTGGGCTTCACATTCCTAGGCAGGGGGTGTACCGTAAAGTCTCGCTGGTAGCCGCTTGCAGCTATGTGGTTCCTCCTTTGGATTTTTCGCCTCGTTTGGAGACCCTGATCCATGGATCGGGGCTAGATCAGGCCTCCGATCGGATCCACTTGTTGGTCCGCCTGGTCGGCGGGTGCTTCCAGGCTCAATTGGCATCTTTCAGCCTCTCACCTCCTCCCTGTGCCCAGCCCCATCCGAGGCAGCCCTAGGGTACAGGCAATCTCTCCCGCTCGTCCCTGAGGGCTCAACGACTCCAATCGACTTGCGGGTGTCAAGCCAGGTAAGTCGAGGCAAATCCACAGAAACCCAAGGAAATCGAAGCGATCTCAATAAATCCCCATCGATCGAGGTAAATCCAGAGATCTCCCAGAAAAGCTGGAGCATATCGTGAACGCTCCAGCGCGGGCCGATGGACAGCAGAGGTCGTTAAGCCCCTGGCGAGCTCCTTCCGGAGAGCTCTCGGCGCGCCCTCGGGGGTGCCCGGGGACCGCCGCGGCGCCCGATGCATCTTCTGGACCGCGCCAGCTTCCAGAGATCCCCGGGTTACCCGTTGACGACATATCCATGTCGTCGGTTCGTCGATTCGAGTGTGTATTCAGGGGAACAAAAGGGAGACATAAACATAAAAGCTCGGAGGTCCGCGCGGATTCCTCGGATCGGCGCTGGGGCGCCTCCGGCGCCGCCTCCGGCGCCGCCCCTGGCGCGCTCCGCGCGCCAGGGCGGGGGGTCCAGCGCCGATCCGAGAAATCCGCGCTGACCTCCGAGTTTTGAGCGCCGATCCGAGAAATCCGCGCGGACCTCCGATTTTTTATGTTTATGCCACTGTGTTACCCTAGTATTGTTTCTCCTCCCCCTCGCCGTTCATGATCCTGAAGCTTACTTTGCAACAGTCGCAAAGGTGGAAGTCGGGTTGTTTTCAAGATGTGGATCTCGCCTCAGCGCCGCGCACATTCGTTTAAGAAGCTTGCAAGTGTGTCAAAGGATAGAGGGCAGCTGGTTTTCAAAATGTGGCTGTCCCCTTACCGCCGCGCACATTCATTTTCAGAGTTTACAACAGATTCAAGGATGGACGACGGCTCCTTTTTCAAAATGTGGCACCTGCCTTAGCGTTGCGCACATTCGTTTTAGAAGTTCGCACCAGTTTCGAGGATTCGCACGGTTGAAGTCTCAGGAATGACGTTCTCTCACGATCTAGAATTGCCATGGCGCAACAATCACGCTGACTCTTGATGCTGAAGTCCCAGGAGTAGCCTTCTGGCACGATTCAGGATTGCCAGGACGCAACAGGCACGTGAATCCGTGCCGTTGAAGTCCCAGGAGTTCTGTTTTGGCACGATTGGAGAATTTCAAACGGGAGGGAGCTTGGGGGGAGGGTTTATTGCAACATCGTCGGTGCGTTTTTGGTTTACACTGGTCCTCCTCCTCCTCCTCCTCCTCCTCCTCCTCCTCCTTCTCCTCCTCCTCCTCCTCCTCCTCCTCCTCCTCCTCCTCCTCCTGTCGTCTTCCTCCTTCCTCCTCCTCCTCCTTTTCCTCCTCAATCGATTTCCCTTGCAAATACTTCCTCCCTGTCGCATCCCGAGGCGTGTCGGCAGGGCGGGCGGGGCGCTTCTCTTGAGAGCTCTTCACGAAGCCTGAAGATTGCAACGGATCCAAAAGTGGAGGACAGGAAGTTTTCAAAGTACGGGGCCCTGGGACACACAAATAAATACACACAAATGAAACGATTCCCCATACTTTCTCATATTTCCTGGGGTTTTGTCCTCCCCCCCACTTCCCATATTTTTCCTTATTTTCCGGGGGATCGACGATTCATTGTGGCTGTGTGTTTTTTCCCCTCCTGTGTTATATTAGGGTTCAAAAATGAGGACGGGAAGTTATACTTTGAAGCCTGAAGCTTGAAAATTGAGGACGGGAAGTTTTCAAAGTACGGCTCTCGCCGGAGTGCCGCGCACATCTGTCTCGACTCTTTGCAGCTCCAGGGACGGAGGGCGGGTGATGTTCAAGATGTGGCTCTCTCTCTCCTGAACCCCGCGCACAGTCGTTGCCAAAGCTCGGAGGACGGGTCGTTTTCAAAATGTGTGTCTCGCCATAGCCCCGCGCACATTCGTTTTCAACGCTGTGCAGCAGGTTCACGGATGGAGAGCAGGTGGTGTGCACAATGTGGGTCTCGCTTTAGCCCCGCGCACATGTGTTGCAACGTTGTGCAACCGCTTCACGGATGGACGCAGGTGGTTTTGGAAAGGTGTTCTCGCCTTAACGCCCCGCACAATCGTCTTCAAAGTTCGCAGCTGCTTCACACTTGCGAATGGTGGAAGTCCCAGGAATGGTATTCTGGCACGGTTTAGACATGGCAGGACAACGGTAACGTTGATTCGCGGTGCTGAAGTCCCAGAAATTGTGTTTTGGCAGGATTCAGGACCTCTGGGACGGAACCGTAACGTTGATTCGCCCACGTTGTGGCACGATACAAAAGGTTGTCAGGCGTTTGTCTTCCAATGGAGCACTTCCCGCAAGAAAGTGTGTTCTTGTCGGCACCCATGAAGAGGGAATTTGAGGGAAGGGTTATTGTAACGTGGTTTATGCGTCTTGGGTCTACACTGGTCCTCCTCCTCTGCCTCCTCATCCTCCTTTCCTCCTCCCTCCTCCTCGTCTTCCTCCTCCTTCTCCTCTAGCAGCCCTCGCCGCGTCGCGCAGGGAAGACATGAAGGACGCCGTCCAGCGCCAGTGCCCCCTCACGTGCGGTGTCCCAGCGCCCGCCGAGACCACGCGACCCGCAGCCACGGCCCAAAAAACTGGTCCCCTCGGGCCGCGTCCGGCCGTGGATCGACGAGAACCTCCGGAAACAGCCACAACTTCCCACGGGACGACCCCCACCTCTGGTTGCGAAAAAAAACCGACGGAAGTTTGTCTCCGTTTTCGGCCTCCAGGAGCCCTCATTGGTTTCAGGGCCGTCAAAAAAATACTTGTGACGAGAAAAACCGGTCCTGGGCAACACGACGTCGGGGTCCAGGAAGTGCGGGTTCCAGTGCCCGTCGACAGCGCGATCGGCGATCATTGCCCAGGTCCGATCCCTTGACCCTGAAATTCGACGTTGCGAAAGAAAACAACATCGCGGGAACAAAAAAACAACAAGTGGCACGCGTGCCCTGGCTCTTGCACAAAGGAGCTGCGGAGGACAGCAGGCCCTCGCCTCCTTCCTCCAGGAGGGGTTTAGGAGGATCCAGGAAGAAAGCGGAGGAGGAGGACGACGACGACGACGATTTCTACTGGGGCCTGGCCTGGTTTTGTTTCTAGGCCTTGGCCAAGAGTGCCTCAGTGGTTCCCCAAGAGCCTCCAAGAGGTCAGGGGGGCTACCCTGGGAAGCGTGGACAGGGGGGGGGGAGGACGAACGACACGACGAACGACGGGAATAAAAAGTTCTGTGGCCCAGGGGGGATACCTGGGAAGCGTGGACAGGGGGGGTGGGGCGAGGGGACGGGGAGGGGGCGAGGGGGACGAACGACACGACGAACGACGAAAGTAAAGGTTTCCGTGGCCCAGGGGGGCTACCCTGGGAAGCGTGGGACAGGGGGGCGGGGTACCCTGGGAAGGGGGAACAGGGGGGGAGGGGGGGGCGGGGGCGGGGGGGGGGGGAGGGGACAAGGAGAACACGACGAATAAAGGAGTTCACGAAAATGGGTTCCGTGGCCCAGGGGGGCTACCCTGGGAAGCGTGGACAGGGGGGGGCGAGGGGGACGAACGACACGACGAACGACGAAAATAAAGGGTTCCGTGGCCCAGGGGGGCTACCCTGGGAAGCGTGGACAGGGGGGGGGGCGAGGGGGACGAACGACACGACGAACGACGAAAATAAAGGGTTCCGTGGCCCAGGGGGGCTACCCTGGGAAGCGTGGACAGGGGGGGGGGGCGAGGGGGACGAACGACGACGACGAACGACGAAAATAAAGGGTTCCGTGGCCCAGGGGGGCTACCCTGGGAAGCGTGGACAGGGGGGGGGGCGAGGGGGGCGAGGGGGACTACGACACGACAACGACGAAAATAAAGGGTTCCGTGGACCCTGGGAAGCGTGGACAGGGGGGGGGCGAGGGGTACCCTGGGAAGCGTGGACAGGGGGGGGGCGAGGGGGACGGGGGGGAGGCGAGGGGGACGAACGACACGACGAACGACGAAAATAAAGGGTTCCGTGGCCCAGGGGGGCTACCCTGGGAAGCGTGGACAGGGGGGGGGGGCGAGGGGGACGAACGACACGACGAACGACGAAAATAAAGATGTCCGAGCTCTAGAGCACAGCTGTGCAAGAGAATTAAAGCTTTGCAGACCCCATTTTTCCGCAGCAGTTCTCGAGCTGATCCCATCTTTGAGGGTCCCGGGGCCCGAAACCGTGCACAAACACTCTGTGTGAAAAAATGCAGACGCTTGGACCCTCCCAGAGACCGCCTTGGCCAGCCTCTCCAGCCGCGCCCGGCCGTGGGCCGACGAGAGCCCCCCGCGAACGCCCCCGAGAGCTTCCCAGGAGACGACGCCGCCCCTCCCTGAGATCCGACGCTGCGGAAAAGTGACGACGCCGCGAAGAACCACGGGCGGAGCCCTAGACCCCATCTGTTTGTGATACAGTCGAGCATATAACTAAGAAACCTCCTCCCGAAAAGCTGGGCCAGCGTTTCTCGACCAACTCGCCGGAGAGCTGGCCCAGTTTCTTGAGCACGTTCGCCCCTCCAGCTTTAACAACAGGAATTGGCCAAGGCCTGTTTCAAGAAACTTCTGGGAAGCTGGCACAGATTTCCAACACGGTCGTTTTCTGAATCGTATTTTCGGCTCTGCTTCTCGAGCCGGATCGATCTGTGATGGTCACGGGGCCCGACGCCAGGCGAGAGCGCTCGGTGCGGGTAAGATTGCAGCGCCAAGATCTCGGGGATATCCGAGCCGGCTTGGCCGATCGACCGCGCGGGATCGGCGCTCGTGCAGTGGAGGCCCATGCTAAGAAACACCTTGCTCGGGTCCAGGGTGCCCTGGGTTTCTTGGGTTTCAATGGCTCTGCTATGGAAAGCGCGACGTTCCCACGCCAAACATCCATGGACGTCCTGTGGTCTCAGGGTTAGGGTTCTTTATGGAAGGTTTCTCGTGGGCTGGCCTCCACTGCAGGAAACGGTGCTTGGGCGAGGTCACGGGGCCCCATCATCCTCATTCGCCCCTAGTATCTCGGCCCCACCAGCGCACCCTCCTAGCGGAGAGCTGGCCCTACGAAGCCCGAAAAAGCAAGCATCGATCCTGACTTTGGTGGGTATGCCGGCCAGTGAGGCCAAGGCCACGCCAGTGGAGATAGGGAGTGGCGAAACGATGCTCAGATCGGGCGAGTTCGCGGCGCTGTGATCCCAGACCCCCAACGTCGTGAGTATTTCACGACGCTCCTCCTCCTATTACTCCTCCTCGTCATCATCATCACCATCATCATCAGCAGCATCATCATTTCCAGCATAATCATCAGCATCATAATTTTCATCATCACAACCTCATCACCATCACCACCATCAGTATCATCAGATGCAGCATCATTAACAACATCACCAGCATCACATCATCACCACCATCATCAGCATCATCAGCATCACCATCCACATCATCATCATCATCATCATCATCATCATCATCATCATCATCATCATCATCATCATCATCATCATCATCATCCCTCTCTTTCTCTTCCTCCTCCATCCCACCTCCTCTTCCTCCTCATCATCATCCTCATCATCATCCTCATCCTCCTCATTCTTCTCCTCCTCCTCCTACCCCTCCCCCTCCTCCTCCTCCTCATCATCACCATCATCATCATCATCAGGGTGCCTTGGGCACGAGACTGAGCGATGCCTCCGCAGGGCCAAAGGGAAACACCTCGGTCCGAGGGGCAGTCCGAGCTGGGAGCTCCTGATCCCTTCAGCCGCGTGGATCATCATCATCATCATCATTAGTTAGCATCATCAGCATCAGCATCAGTATCATCATCGTCAGCTTCATCTTCATTTTCATCTTAATATTCATCTCCTCATCCTCTTTCTTTCTCTCCTCCTCCTCCTCCTCCTCCTCCTCCTCCCATTGCTCCTCCCCCTCCCCCCATCCAAGATGCACCCCGCTTGCCAGAACCCCCAAGACGGCGCGCTCAGTGATCGGCCAGGCGTCCAGCGGTCAGCCAATCGCAAGAGTGACCCCTCACCGGAGTGCCCACTGGTGCGGGCCCCACAGGGGTCCTCCCAGCAGTGGCCTGCGCGCTTGGATTTGGCCCCCCCAGCTGCCCCCGAAAGCCGCACACCAGAGGCCACTCGTCTCAGGCCAGCTCCTGCGTGTAGCCGAAACGGCCAGCTGACCCGCCAGGCCGGCCAGGTGGCTGTCGTCGTCGTCCCGGGGGGGTGGGCAGACGTGAAAAGCCTGACGGGAGGCCCTCCAGCCGAGCCACGGTTGGGCACGGGCCAGGAAACGGGCCGCGGTGGACCCAGGGGGGTCCCCATGGCCGGTTGTGGCGTTGCCCTCGCTCGGAGGCTTCTTCTACTCGGAGGCGGATAGACTTCCTACCCTGACACGTCGATTAAGGAATTGACCGTTTTCGGTTCGCGAGAGGGCGTCGCGGCCGTCATTTTTGCGGGTCCAGGTGCGTCGGTTTCGGTCCCAGGCCGTTTTCACTAAGGGGAGGTTTACTAAAGGGAGGTTTGTCCACCGCCGATCTACGTTGGTGATGTAAATATAGCGTGCAACATCGATCTCCGACGAGCATGCTATCCTTGTGAGGCGATCCCTCCGCGAGGGCTCCTTCTGCGCACGCTATCCCCCTGCGAGAGCCTCGTCGGTGCACGCTATCCCCAAGGTGAGGGACCGGCTGCGCCACATCGCACACTACCTTGTCGGCGCCAACCGTAAGTTCGAGATTCGAAGTCTTTGGACTTCAACCGTTTTCGTCGTCTCCCCGAGGTTTTCCAGCTTTGGGGTACCTTCCAGCAGCTGCGCCTCGCCGAGCGCGTTCTGGGATTGCCCGGGTCGTCCCTGACGGCCGCCGGAGACCCGAGCCATGACCCGAAAACCGAGTGGCATCAAAACCGATTGGTCTTGGGGTCGGTTGTGAGCGGACCTTGCTGAGGTGCGGGCAGTGCACCAACAAGCCGTCCGCCAGCCAGTCGGACGGCGCTGGGGACGACGACGACGACGACGGCGACGGCAAGTCGGACGACTCTGGCTGGCAGCTTAGCTTCGGCGGGGGAGATGGAGAGGAGGACGACTAGAGTGAGGACGAGGAGAAGCAGGAGGAGGAGGAGAAGCAGCAACAGCATGAGGAGGAGGAGGACGAGGACGGGGACGACCACGACGAGCACGAGCACGAGGACGAGGAGGAGGAGGAGCAGCAGCAGCAGGACGAGGAAGAGCAGGGAGGGTAGAGGAGGGGCAGGGAGAAAGGGGCAGGGAGAGGCGAAAGAGGACGAGAAAGGGAAAGAAAAGGGAGGAGGAGGAGAAGTGAGCGGTGAGGAGTAAATGGGAGAGGAGTGGAGAGGGGAGGGAGAAGGGCGGAGGGAAAGCAAAAGGGAGGGGAGAAGGAAGAGGAGGAGGACGAGGAGGTGGAGGAGGAGGGGAGCGGAGGCGTTAGAAAGGAGAGAAGGACGAGGAGCTGGAGGAGCAGCAGCAACAGAAGGAGCAGAAGATGGTGTGGGGAGGAGGAGGAAGTTAAGGAGCAGGGGGAGGAAGAGGAGGAGGAGAGAGGAGAGAGGAGAGAGGAGGAGGAGGCGAGAGGAGATAGGAGGAGGAGGAGGACGAGGAGGTGGAGGAGGAGGAGGAGGAGGAGAGGAGGAGGAGGGAGCGGAGGCGTTAGGAAGGACGAGGAGTTTGGAGGAGCAGCAGCAACAGAAGGAGCAGAAGAGGATGCGGGGAGGAGGATGAGGAGCAGGCAGAAGAGGATGAGGAGGAGAGAGAGAGAAGAGAAGAGAGGAGAGAGGAGAGAGGAGGAGAGAGGAGAGACAAGAGAGAGGAATAGGAGAAAGAAGGAGGACGAGGACGAGGGTGAGGAGTGAGGAGGACGGGGACGAGGCGAGGAGGGAAGGGGGTAAATATGGGGGAGGAGGATGAGGAGGGACGAGTAAGCGTGGGGAACTGGAAAAGGGACGGAGGGAGAGGAGGAGGGAGGAGGAGGAGAGGAGGGAGGGAGGAGGAGGAGAGGAGGAGAATGAGGAGGAGGAGGAGGAGGAAGGAGAGAGAGAGAGAGAGAGAAATAAGCAGGAACAGGAGGGAGCAGGAACAGGATGAGGAGAGATGAAGATGAGGATGGGGATGATGATGAGAAGGAGGAAGAGGAGAGGCAGGAGGATGATGATGCTGATGCTGCTGATGATGATGGAGAGGAGGAGGAGGAGAGGAGAGGAGGAGGAGGAGGAGGAGGAGGAGGAGGAGGAGGAGAGGAGGACCTCCTCTTCCTCCTCCTCCTCCTCCTCCTCCTCCTTCCTCCTCCTCCTGCTCCTCCTCCTCCTCCTCATCATCATCATCATCCTCGTCCTCCTCCTCCTCCTCCCCCTCCTCCTCCCCCTCCTCCTTCTCCTCCTCCTCCTGCTTCCCGGTCGGAAAAGGAGGAGTGACGGCAGCCAGTGGCTGGGCCCCAGGCGGCGGGACGTCCCCGCGCAGAGGCGGAGGGACGCAAGGTCCGCGGGCGGGATCTAGTAGGCCTCTGGCAGGGCTGCCCGGCAGGGGAGGACGCGCGGCCTGACCTCGGGGGCGGCAAAGAGGGGGGTGAAGACTGGGGAGGGGGGGGAGAGATCATGGCGGGGCCATGATATCTCCCCAGATTTCACGGCGCCTCTTCTTCTTTCATTACGTCCCTGGCCCCCCCCCCCCCCTGGGCCGCGCACGCGCCGCCGGCCATGATTTGCGCCGCCCCCTCTTGGACGCCCCCCTTCTGGGCCGCCCCCGACTGGCCAGGCGTGCGATTTCGCCATCAGCGGGCGCCTCCTGCGGGGGGGGCATGCAACGCCGCTGCATGTGGCTGGCGTCGGCCCCGCCGCCGGGCGCATTCCTCAATGCACGGCCTCCTTCCGGCGCCTCCAGGCGCGGGGTGAACCAGGCGCACGCCATTTGATCGCCACGGGGGAAGCGGGTCCCTGAGGGAGACGGTCCTGAGATTTGTCGCTGTTTTCGGGCTCTCGGGGCCCTCCCACGGGCCCCGGGGCTGTCAGAAAACGAGTCTGAGGATAAAGAATTCGTCCTGGGGGGAGGCTCCAGGGTCCAGGGCCCGCTTCCCTCAGGAACCCGCTTCCCCCGTGGCGTGCGATTGGCCAAAGTTGGCGAAGGAAGTAAGGGAGGAGGGAGGAGCCAGGGAGCTGGTTGGCTCTTCCTGGTCATCCCTCTTAGTCTCACCGTTGCCTCGAGAGGCCCAGGAGAGCCAGAACGATGCCCAGTTGATGTCCATCCTTCGCATTATGTGGGTCCTCTTCGTCGTCGTTCGCATGAGCCTCCTCATCGTTGTCATCAGCAGCAGCAGCAAACGCATCAGCATTGTCATCATCGACCTCGTCGTCATCCTCGTTATCACAACGAATGTCCTTCTCCCAACTGGCATCACCATTGCCATCATCACCATGATCGTGCCCGCCCTCCTCCACCCCTTCCCTCGCCTATCACAACGAATACCCTTCTCCCAACCGGTATCACCTTTGCCATCATCATCATCATCATCATCATCATCATCATCATCATCATCATCATCATCATCATCATCATCATTGTGCTATCTCTTTCCTCCACTTCTTCACTCGCCTTCTCTCTGAACGCCAGTCAATAGCGCGTCGGTGGCTCCACCACACATGGGAGGAGCCGGGAGTGAAAGTGGACGGAACTCGACGAAGGTTGTTTCCTTGTCGGCATGCGTCCCACTTACGCCAGTGCACAGCATTCTCGAAGATAGGAAACGGATAGTTCAAAGTTGGATGCACTCGATTGAAGAAGATTGTTGGCTGAGGTGGCTCCAGCGACGCCGCCAACGACACCGATGACAAGGACAGCTCCGACGACGACGATGACTCCGACGAGTCTAAGGGCACCGACTCGAAGGACCCGCTGCACGCTCTCTCCTACTACTGCCCCTCCACCTCCCCCATCGGAGGAGGAGAGGGGGGAGGAGGAGCAGAAGGAGAAGGAGGAGGATTGGTTGATTAAGCGATTGATCGGAGGAGGAAGAGGAGAAGAAGGAGGAGGAGAAGGAATAGAAGAGAAGAGAAGAGAAGAGAAGAGGAGAGGAGAGGAGAGGAGAGGAGAAGAGAGGAGAGGAGAGGAGAGAGAAGAGAAGACAAGACAAGAGAAGAGAAGAAAAGAGACGAGAAGGAGGAGGAGGAAGAGGAGGAGGAGGACGACGACGACGAGGAGAAGGAGAAGGAGAAGGAGGAGGAGGAGAAGAGGAGAAAGAGTCCGAGGAGATCAGGAAAGGGATTAATATTAGCCTGGCGAAGAACCCAACCATATGCAGTTGTGAGTACCGCAGTTGTGGGTATCGCCTTCCGTGGAGCTCCCTGTGGGGCCACGAAACGCTGTACTGGGCGGGGGATCCGCATGCGAACTGCGTCACCGAGACTTTCGGTGGAGCTCTCTGTGGGGCCACGAAACGTTGCACTGGATGGGGGAACCGCACGCGAACTGCGCCATTGGGACCTTCGGTGGAGCCCAATTCTAGGGCCACAAAACGTTGTACTGGGCGGAGGAAACGCATGCGAACTGCGCCACTGGAGCCTTCGGTGGAGCTCCCCTATGAGGCCCCGAAACGCTGTATTGGGCGCAGGAACCACATGCGGACTGCGCCACTGGGACCTTCGGTGGAGCTCCCTATGGGGCCACGAAACATTGAACTGGGCGCAGGAACCGCATGCGAACTGCGCCATTGGGACCTTCGGTGGAGCAGGAACCACATGCGGAGTGCGCAACTGGAACCTTCGGTGGAGTTCCCTCAGGGGCCACGAAACTTTGTACCTGGCGCAGGAACCGCATGCGAACTGCGCTAATGGGACCTTCGGCGGAGCTCCTTGTGGGGTCGCGAAACACCGCACTGGGCGCAGGAACCGCATGCGAGCTGCGCCACCGGGACCTTCGGTGGAGCTCCCTATAGGGCCACGAAACGATGTACTGGGCGCAGGAACGGCATGAGGACTGCGCCATTGGGTCCTTCGATGGAGCTCCCTATGAGGCCACGAAACGCTGCACTGGGCGCAGGAACCGCATGTGAACTGCGTCATTGGGATCTTCGGTGGAGCTCCCTGCGGGGCCGCGAAACGCTGTACTGGGAGGTGGGGACGCATGCAAACTGCGTCACTGGGACCTTCGGAGGAGCTCACTGTGGGGCCGCGAAACGCTGTACTAGTCGCAGGATCCGCATGCGGACTGCGCCTCTGGGACATTCGGTGGATTTGCCTCAGGGGCCACGAAACGCTGTACTGGGCGGGGGAACCGCATGCGAACTGTGTCAGTGGGACCTTCGGTGGAGCTCCCTGTGGGTCCACGAAACGCTGTACTGGATGGGGGGGACGCATGCGAACTGCGCCGCTGGGACCGTCCTCTGGGCCACGAAACGCTATACTGGGCGGGGTAGACGCATGCTAACCATTGATGAAGGGAGGAGGGGGAAGAGGGAGGAGGGGGAGGAGGAGGCGAGGGGGAGAGGAAGGAAAGCGGGGCGCTATCTCTTCCAGCCAGACGAGGACCTAACACCACAGGATTCTTGGAAATTAGGAGGAACAGGAGAGGGAGGAGGAGGGAAGGAGGAGGAGGAGGAGAAGGAGGAGAAGGAGGAGAAGGGGAGAAGGAGGAGGAGGAGGAGGAACAGGAGGTGGAGGAGGAGGTGGAGGAGGGAGGCCGGCATCTCGGCCGACGCACGAGGCAGCGGCGCGCGGACACTTGGCGAAAAAACCGGGCAAGCCTGGCCAGCAGGCACGAGGCGGCGACGAGGAGGCCGACGGGCGGGCACCGGCCAACGCCTCAGCAGACCCAGCGAATGGTTTCGGGGATCCTCCTCCTCCTCATCATCATCATCATCATCATCATCATCATCATCATCAACATCATCACCATCATCATCATCATCATCATCATCATCATCGTCATCATCCTTCTCCCTCCTCCTCTTCCTCCTCCTCCTTCTCCTCCTCCTGACTCCTCCTCCTCATCATAATCATCACCATCATCATCATCCTCCTCATCCTCCTTATTCTCCTCATCCTCCTCCTTCTCCCTCCTCCTCCTCCTCCTCCTCCTCCTCCTCAGGTCCGAGCTCTGTGAAGCTGTGGTCGAGTGAGGTCCACTCGTGGCTCCCGCTGTGGGGCCATCCTCTATCCGCGTCTCGACGCGCACGGTAGGTCGCAACCGCCCGAGATGAGATCGGATGGTTGATTTAAGTCGAGTGGTATCGACCTTCGGCCCGACACCGTATCGCCGCCGCCGCCTCAGCATCATCATCATTATTATCCTCCTCCTCCTCCTCCTCCTCCTCCTCCTCCTCCTCCCCCTCCCCCTCCTCCTCCTCCTCCTCCTCCTCCTCCTCCTCCTCCTCCTCTCCTCCTCCTCCTCCTCCTCATCTCCTCCTCCTCCTCCTCCTCCTTCTCTCAGCATCATCATCATCATCAATCATCATCATCATCATCATCATCATCATCATCATCATTCATCATCAGCATCCCTTCCCCCTCCTCCTCCTCCTCCTCCTCCTCCTCCTCCTCCTGCTCCTCCACCTCCTCCTCATCCTCCTCTTCCTCCTCCTCCCTCTCCTCCTCCTCTGCCTCCTCCTCCTCCTTCTCCTCCTCCTGACTCCTCCGCCTCCTCATCATCATCATCATCCCATCATCATCACCATCATCATCATCCTCCTCCTCCTCCTCCTCCTCCTCCTCCTCCTCCTCCTCCTCCTCCTCCTCCTCATCCTCCTCATCCTCCTCATCCTCCGCATCCTCCTCATCCCCCTCGCTCCTCCTCCTGCTCCTTCTCCCTCCTGACTCCTCCTCTTCCTCCTCCTTCTCCTCCTCCTCCTATTTTCAAACGAATCGCCCTCAATCCGTTAAACTCCTAGCCAATGGTTCAAACGAATGTGCGCGGCGCTAGGAAAAATGGTGAGGATGTCTCATGCGAAACGCTCGACCCGCCCTAAAAAATTGCCTCTGGGTGCGACAGGGAGAAATCATGGATAAGGAAAAGGGACGGAGGAGGCGGAGGAGGAGGAGGACGACGATAAGGAGAAGGAGGAGGAGGAAGAGGGGCAGGACAAAGAGGAGGAGGACGAGGAGGACGAGAAGGACGGGCACGAGGAGGAGAAGGACGAGGAGGACGAGGACCAGAAAGAGAACCACGAAGAGGACCAGGAGAAAAACAAGGAGGAAGAGGAGAAGAACGAGCAGGAGAACAAGGAGGAGGACGACGAGGAGGACGAGAAGTAATACGAGGAGGAGGACGGGGAGTAGGACGAGGAGGAAGACGAGGAAGAGGAGGAGGGGGAGGACGAGGAGGAGGAGGACGAGGAGGTTCAGGCCCTGCCGCCGCAGACGCGCCGCGGCCGCAGGACGGCCCCGCCTGCCGTTGCATGCGCTCGTGGACCAGCCCAGGCGACGAGGGGTGCGAGAAGGACGCGGGCCGCCGCTTGGCCCCGCGCAGCCCTCCTTAACGTCACCATCATCATGATCACCATCATTTTCATCATCGTCATCACCATCATCATCAGCAGCATCACCATCATCACCATCATCCTCATCATCGTCATCACCATCATCATCAGCAGTATCACCATCATCAACATCATCGCCATCATCATCAGCATCATCAGCATCGTCGTAATCATGATCATCAGCAGAATCAGCATCATCAGTCATCATCGTCATCGTCATCGTCATCGTCGCCGTCATCAGCATCGTCTTCAGCATAGTCCTCGTCCTCCTCGCCGCCGCCAATCATCATCAGCATCAGCATCATCATCGTCATCCTCATAATCATCAGCATTATCATCATCACCAACATCATCATCATCATCATCATCATCATCATCATCATCATCATCAGCAGCATCATCATCATCGTCATCAGCATCATCAGCATCAGCAGTATCATCAGCACCATCATCAGCATAATCAGCATCATCTTTAGCAGCATCATCATCTTCAGCAGCAGCAGCAATAGCAGCAACGGCAGCAGCACCATCAGCATGGCTCTCCTCATCATCACCCTCGCTCTTGGCTCCTCGCTCCTCCTCCTCCTCCTCCTCCTCCTCCTCCTCCTCCTCCTCCTCCTCCTCCTCCTCCCCACTGCGAACGTAGGAAGACGGTGGCGCAGGGTTGAGATCCAGCGGCGGCAGTGGTGATGACGATTCCTCTGGCTACGCTCCTCCTCCTTCCCCTCCACATCAAGTCTTGACGCTTCGCATATCTCCACCAATTTTTGCGCGCTGCATGCGTGCACCCTGGCAGTGCAGCTTCCCAGCAGTTGCAGCGAGCCCCCCTCGACTCGCCGGCCTGCCCGCCGAGGTGCTGCGTGAGGCTCCGGCCCACCGCTTTAGGTTAATTCGTCTTTGCGCGGCCCGCTCTGACTGGACTCGCCGCTGGCGCTCTCGCCTGCGGCCGCTGGCTAAAAAGTATCTCCACCAGCCCATCCAGAAACGATGCCCATGAGAGCTGACAGGGGGAGAGAGGAAGAGACACGCATAGTCAAAGAGCCTCTTGGAGCATCTTGGGAGCCATCTTGAGCCAGCTTGAGCTATCTTGAACCCTTGGAGGTCATCTTGGGCTCTCTGAGGCCGCTCGGGGGCCTCTTGGGGGCCTGACGGGGGCCTCTTGGAGCCCTCTGGTGGCCTCTTGGGGCGCTCGTGGGACGCTCTGGGGGCCTCTTGGGAGCCCCGGAGGGCCCCAAGAGGCGGTCGGTCAAAAGAAGGATATCCTCGATGTTCGTCCTTTTTCTTTTTCGGGGGCCACGATCCTCGTGAGGGGTGTCAAAAATTGGCCCTCCCACTAGCGGAAGGAGACTCCGACACCTGGCGACGAAACCAGGGAGGAGAGGGGGAGGGTCCCCCTCTCCGAAGGGCAAAGGGGTTGTGGAAGAGGAAAGAGGCCTTCCTTTGTCGCCCAGAGGGCTGGCGGGACTATCCTCCTCATCCTCCTCATCCTCATCCGTCCTATCCCTGGTCGTTATCCCCTCCAGCCATTTCGCCCTCCCGTTTCCCCCACCCACCCATGCACCCACCCCTTCAACAGGACAACCGCGGCGAACGCGCGCGTGTGTCCCGAGCGAACTAGACCTTCTTCATCCTTCTGTTTCCTCTTCACATCCTTCCTACTCGCTCCCCCTTCGGGCTGCTCACGGTCGTTAGATTGAGAACCCTGATCCTCCGCATCCTCGGCATCCTTCCCTCGTCATCATTCTCCCCATCAACCTCTGCCTCTTCCTTCAGATCGCATTCGTCCTAGGACTTTGGCTCTAGCCTGACGGTTGCTGTCATGCGCTTGGTCCTTGACCCCAGCACCGACATAGCTCACGCTGTCTATGCGCTTCTTGCAGGTGCACATCTCGATATCGGCGGCGTCTCGCCGCCGGTTCCGTCTCCAGAGCACGGCCAAGAAGTGGGCGTGTGCGGCTCTGGCGGTTCGCGAGGCACGCGCCTGCGATGACTGCGCGCAGGCAGGCTGAGCCTTTCCTGCTCCGCTTGTCAAGAATACCGAGTGTCCTTCCACCGACGGTCAGAACGGCACGATCGTGGTGCCCGTAGATGAACTGGAGATCTTCCAGGCTAAGCTCCATATGATGACCGACCAGTCGGATAGCACAGCGTATCAGACGGCCCAGTTGTTCGACAGGGTTGCAGCCATCTTGAAAGGGGGGCATCGACGTTGTGATCGGCGAGGCGGTCGCCCTTGCCGACAACATGTACGAAGCGTGTGCGGAGCTCGCCTCGCTGGCGAATGGCCTCGCGAAGTGGTCGCCCAAGTGGTATTCGTGCCTGGAGGCCTTCGCTGACGACGACGATGAGGGGCACGTCAGTTGGATGGATTTATGTGAGCCCTGCGTGGCCAGTGAGATGGCCCACCCGTGCTCCAACGGTGTCAATGACCCCCCAACGTTTGCGGCCCGTCACGCGTGAGCGACTTGCACGCGACGGATGCTGGTCGGTTGATCGATGCCTTTAGGCAGCTCAAACGGGCAAGCCACACGCAGTGGCGCCAACTGCTCGCGCACCACTCGGCGGAGATGCTGTCCCGCTGCCGTTGGCTTCGTGCCCACGGGAGTGCTCGGGGCAGTGGACGACCGCCAGCGGGGCAGGTGAGCCTACGGTCGACGGGTCTCCCAATGGCCGACGTTGGTGAAGTTCTCCCTGTCGTCACGGCGGATCGCGACCCGTTCGCGATGCACCACGAGTACATGGAGTTCACGTTCGCCCATAGGAACGAGACCAACATGCAGGATGAAGATCCGCACCCAGCAGGTCCAGCCCAGGAGGGGGGGACCTCATGATACACTTCCTGATGCACCGCATGATGCGCCAGGGGGGGACCTCAGCCTGAGACTGGTTTGTTTGGTGCTCATAACGGCTTGGGGGACATCGACGGCATCAAGGCATCAGCATACATGACGGCACTAACAGTTTAGCGGGTGTAGTTGATGGTGCCGTTCTTGATTGCGATCTTGAGGGTGGGAGTGCCGACCTCGTGTTTCAGCTTGCTGAGGGGCAGCAGATCGGTTTCGCCCGCTTCGCGCTCCAGACGACGGCGCTCCGCCATCATCTACGCCCGCAGCGGGGGTCCTCATCATAGCTATGCTCGCTGTGGGCAAGGCGAGCAACGTCTCCGACACGGGCCGCCAAGAAACCACGGAGACAGACCACGCAGACCTAGGGGACCCCACGAGCTAGGCGAGGCCAGCGGGGCAGACCCAAGGGAGTGGACACAGGATCGACGCGAAAGACCAGGACACGCGCTGCACGTCGACGTCCGACTGCGCCGCGGGCGGGATCTTCCACTGGGGGAGGTGCCGGCCTGCAGGTTCCATCGCCAGCAGAGATCCGCCCTGCCTTCCTCTCCGACGCTTGGGCCACCGCGGCACACGAATTGGCGGATGTGTGACGTGGGTGCTGCCGCAGTCGGCAGCTCTGAGTGGCCCGGCTTCTTCTCCCCCTGTCGCGCCGGGGCTCCTCCTCCTCCTCCTCCGTGCATTGTGTTCTTAATGTGCATACAGCGTGTCCCCTCTTGCCATTCCGCCGGAGCAGTCACCCTCTGCCCAGCCGCCGACGCAAGAAAAATGTGTGTCGTGGGTGCCACATAGTGTGAGTGTCCTTCGCAAGATCCCGTTGGTGCTGGCGCGAATGGCGGCACCAGCGCACCGAGAACCAAGATCGGGCGCCTGGCTCTCAGTCGGACGCGTCCCTCTACAGGAGGAAAATTCAAAAATAGTCAAAAAATAATATGAAGACGGTGTTTTGAATATTTTTGCCCTGTCCGGTGTATTTTTGACATTTTTTCCATTTCGCCCAAAAACCGCCTGTGGGGGGACATGCCCGTCCTCAGGCTAGTTGGGGGCAGCAAGAAATCCAGGAGATGCCGATGTTCGGTCGCACCCGCGCGCGCGTTCGGTGATTTCGGCGCCCGCGACTCTGATCAAGCGGGTGCCCGATAACCCACGTGCTCCTTTCAGCGAACGATAGGGCCACCCGTCGCTGGGAGTGGTGCGTCCCGGATGCTACATAGATTGGACATCCTCTACGACGGTTGCGTTCCCGAGCCTTTACACGGTCAACGGCATGCCAGAAGTGCCGCTCAAGTTCTTCATGCGGTGGTGAGTGCTGATGAAGTTCTGTGCTTCGTGGAGGGAGCAGTGGACCGGGGCTGCCTCGGCCAGCTTCACAGAGGCGGCAACAAGGTGAATGAGCCACCTCCTGCTCGGCTTGATGCCTTGCCTGCGGTGTGACTCCAGGGGTGCTGCGCCCGACCCGCTGCGCGTGTCAAGCCAGCCGTTGCGTTTGCCTTGCTGTGGGAGATTTGCATGAATAACCCCGTATTTCCCCTTCGCCGTCCTCGTCTTGGGTCTTGGGTGCGGGGGGCCGAAGATATCTCGCTCGACGGGTACGTTTTCACTGCAACATTTTGGCGAGGTCGTCATTGCACGTTCAGCCCCGAGGGCATTGTCCGCTGGTTACAACTATGCTGACTGTTGCTCCTGTGCATCTCTGTGCTCGCCTTGCTGCCGTGATTGGGCATCATGTGTTGCGTGTGCCCTCGCGCGCACGAACCTGCGCTGTCCGTACTATCGCCGTGATGGTGTGATCGCTCCCGGGCGAGTCAGCGTCGCATTGAGTTGGGACTCGTCGAAATCTGCGCCTTTCTTCCGCCAGCGCCCGACCTCGCACCCTTCCCCCCCCCTCCATTTCCACACCCTCCGAGCTTGCCTCCTCGCCCGAATCCTCCTTCGTGTGCTGGCAGGGTTGTTCAGCTCAGCTCCGCGTCTGCAGCCCACCTGGGAGACGCGTCCCCGCTCCCCTCGAGGTCGGGACGGCCCCTCCCGCGGGTGCGCGGCGCCCGTGGCAGAGAATCGCGCAGGCGATGCCGGGGGAGGTCGTCGAAAGCGGGCGTGCAGCACATCGGGAGGGGAAAAAAAAAACAGACACGATGAGTTGTCGATTCCTTCGAAGATATGGGAAAATCTGGGAAGTGGGGGGGGGGAAGACGAAAACCTGGAAAATCTGGCAAAATATGGGGAATGTTGGGATTTGTGTGTATTTGTTTGTGTGTCCCTGGGCCCCCTCAACACATCCGGACACACGAAACGCTTATACTTCTACACGCATTCCAAGCACGGCATGTTCGCAGGGGCAGGGAGGAGTCACGCGGCACAATGTAGGGCGTGGGAGGTCGGAAGATGTAAGGGGGAGATATAGCAGGTAGGAAATTGAAGGGAGGAGGAGGAGGAGGAGGAGGAGGGGGGAGAAGGACAAAGAAATGGACAGAGATGAAGCTCGAGGCAAGAAGGAGAAGGTAGGACATAGGAGAGGAGGAGGAGAAGAATAAAGGATAAAGGATAAAGGAGGAGGACAGAAAGGTAGGACGAGGAATAGGAAGAGGAGGTTGAAGATGAGGAGGAGAAAAGATAGGCAGGGTGAGGGGGCAGGAGGAGGAGGAGGAGGACAAGGAGCAGGAGAGGAGGACGACAACGAGGAAAGTAGGAGGAATATAATGAGGAGGAGGCGGACGACGACGACGACGACGACGACTAGGAGAGACGGAGGGAAGGACGGAGGGAGGGAGATGAGAGGAAAGGGAGCAGGAGGAGGAGGAGGAGGAGGAAGAGGAGCATGAGGGCGGTTGGGAGGAAGAGGAAGGGGGCCGGAAGGGAGCAGGGGAAAGAAGGAGGAAGCAGGTAGAAGGTAGCGGGACGGAAGTAGGAGGGAGGATGGTTTGAAGAGATCCCTCCCCCCGCTGCAGAGTCGAAGATGGGAAGATTGACAGTGTTTGGGGCGAGAGTTGGAGTGCGAAAGATCTCCTAGGTCGGTTCGGCCTCGACCATGAATTACCGGAACAGTTGGTGGCCCAGCATAGGTCCAGAGAGTCACGCGGAGGCGACAGTGGTAGTGATTAGTTAATCTTGCGACCTGGAGCCAGTGGCATTGATGCTGCTTCCACGTGGAACAGGACAAAGCAGGTAAGAGGGAAGAGGAGGCGGAGGAGGAAGATGAGGAGGAGGAGGAGGAGGTAGGAGGAGGGGAAAGTAGGAGCAGGAGGCAGGAGGTAGGAGGAAGGGGGATGTGGAGGGAAGAAAATAGTAGAAGGAGGAGGGGTTGCGCCGCGCAAGGAGCAGCGATACTGCCCCGAGAAGCCTTGCGACGGCGACGCCAAGCATTGGTGCCTCGTCGAGACCCCAGGCCGCCACGACACGAGGGCAGAGCATGCCACGCCTCACCCTCCTCATCTTCCACCGGCTGCTCCTCGCTCTCCTCCTCCTCCTCCTCCTCCTCCTCCTCCTCCTCCTCCTTCTCCTCCTCGTCGTCCTCCCTGTTCCCCCTCTCGTCCTCCTACCCGTCCTCTTCGTGCCTCCTTCCTCCCCCTCCTCCCTCTCTATCCCTATCCCTTAGAAATAATTCCCCCGATTCGCGCAAGCAGAGCTGTCCATAAGCCAGACCGGGCGTTTCGCTGGACATATCCTTGCAATTCCCCGAACAGTGTTTGCATTTTGGGGTTCTTCCTTGGCTTAATCATCTTGGGGTGAGAGGCGGTTTTTGCGTGCGGTGTCGCTCGTCGCCTCCGTCGACACCGTCGCCGTCGCCGCCACTCGGGGCGAGTGGCGGCTTTTGCGGGCGGTGCCGCCCGTCGCCGCCGTCGCCGCCGCATAGATTGCACCACAATGATTGCACCACGTAGATTGCACCGCATAGACTGCATTGCATAGGTTGCACCGCGTAGATTGCACCACGCTGGTTGCACCACATAGGTTGCACTACATATTTTGCATTGCATAGGTTGCATCGCGTAGATTGTACCACATAGATTGCACCGTATCGATTGCACCATATAGATTGCATGTCATAGGTTGCATCGCGTAAATTGCACTACGCAGAATGCACCGCATAGACTGCATTGCATAGGTTGCACCGCGTAGATTGCACCACATAGATTGCACCGCATAGACTGCATTGCATAGGTTGCACCGCGTAGATTGCACCGCATATATTGCATTACGTAGGTTGCATCGCATACATTGCATTGCACTACGTAATTGCACCGCATAGACTGCAAGAACCTAGTGTTTGGGGTCCACGCTGGCTAACATTGTTGACCCGAAGTTTTGGATATTCCAGCACCTGCATGGATGAAGAGCCGGTCGTGTCAAAGACGTGGTTGCAGCCTCAGCGCCGCGAATATTTAGCTTGGAAGTTTCCAGCAGTTGCAAGAATGGAGCTCCCGTGGTTTCCAAGATGCGGCTCTCCTTTTGGCGCCGCGTAAAATTCTGTATCAAGGTTCCCCCTAGTTACAAGCACGGAGGGCCGGTGATTTCCAAGATGCGGTTCTCGCCGTAGCGCCTCGCAAATTCGCAGGGTCAAATTCGATCCGATCTATCACATTCGATGTCGATTCCGGACAGGCCAACCCAAGTCGTTACCGAGAATCCGATGCGGCCCGATGTTTGCATGGCGTTGTTGTGTATGTTGGTGCAGCCGATACGATTGCATTTCGATTCCGTGCCAATGCAGCCCGATCCGACGCAGATTTCGGTTCGATCCCTCTTACCCAATCGATGTTGATTGATCTTGAACTCGCTACGAGCATGGAGGCCAGTGGTTTCCAAAATGCAGCTCTCTCCTCAGCGCCGCTCGAATGCGTGTTAAAGAAATCGAACAGCTACAAGGATGGCGGCAGGTCCGATTTCAAACTGTGGCCATCGCCTTAGCGCCACGCACATCCGCTTAAATACAATACAACACAGATGGACGGGGTGGTGTTCGAAACGCAGTTCTCGCCCTAGCGCCGCTTACATTCATTTCAAAAGTTTCCAACAGCCACAAGTATGGAGGCCAGATCGTTTTCAAAATACGGATCTCGCTTGAGACCTCCATCAAAGCTATGATCCGAAGCTCCAAGTTTTGCAACATCTACATGGATGGAAGACTGCTCCTGTTTAAAATGCTGTTTTCACTTGAGACGTCGACTGTTCTTTTTTCGAGATGGAGATTGCGCTTCAGACATCACTAACCTCGAAGAACAGAAACTTGACCATGTGTAACGGCTGCACGGATGAAAGGGTTCTTGTTTTGAAAATGTAGACACAGTTAGAGACTTCTGCCGGGCCATGACCAGGAGTGAAAGTTCGTGCAAGAGTTTTACAGGTGAGGCTGCCCTTCTTCTCTTCAAAACCGAGATGTCGCTGGACACCCGCTGAACTGTATTATCGAACACGCTAGTTGTCCTGACTGGTCGCCAGAAGGACGCAAGATAGCCCCATTTCAAAATGGGACTCGCCTGACTGACAGGCCCACATGGCGCTGGTCTTTGAAGGGGGTGCTGCCTGTGGGAAGAGAAAAAAAAAGCGCGCAGGGACTTCTGAGGATGTGGGACGGGAGGAGGGTGCATTGCAGCATCGTCGATGCATCTTGGGTGTATTCTGGTCCCCGTTTTCCTTTCCACGGAGACCGTGGCCCTCCCACCTCCACAGGCGCTAGGACTCTGGGATGTATCAGTGTTTTCTGGAACAAGGCGCCGACTTGGTTTCCAGGCAGCATCGTCAATGGCTCTCCCAAACAAGTGTAGACAGAAAAGTCTCATCCTTCTCAACCATCCTCCTCGCTCCTCCTCGCTCTTCCTCCTCCTCCCCATCATCCTCATCCTCATCATCATCGTCGTCGTCATCATCGTCATCATTACTTATGCTCCGTCCTCACTCCTCCTCCTCCTTCTCACTCTGGGCCGTTTCAATCGGGGATTCAGGCCCAAAGAGTTGCAGGACAGTAGTTCTTGAGTGGTTTGTTCATGACCTCGTCGCTGGCATCATCAATGCACTCCTCGTCCTCCACCTCCTCCCCGTCCTCCTCCTCCTCGTCCTCCTCCTCCTCCTCCTCCTGCTCCTCCTCCTCCTCCTCCTCGTCATCATTCCTCCCTCCTCCTCCTCCTCCTCCTCCTCCTCCTCCTCCTCCTCCTCCTTCTACTCACTCTTCCTCACGCCTCCTATTCCTCCTCTTCCACCTCATCCTCCTCCTCATCATCATCATCGTCCTCCCCCTCCTCATCCTCCTCCTCCGCCTCGTCTCTCCTCCTCCTCCTCCTCCTCCTCCTCCTTCTCCTCCTCCTCCATCCTCCTCCTCTTTCCCATCCTCCCTCTCTCCTCTCTTGTGGGCAGCCCCGCCGTGGGCCCGCAGGCTGCGCCACGGAGGCCAGGGAGGACGGCGAGGGCCAAGGCTGGGCGTATTGCAGCCCGGAGGAGCCGCCTGGCCAGGGACGACGATAACGACGACGGCAGTGGCGGCGGAAAGACGAGAGGGGAGGGGAGGCAAGGGAAAGAAAGACTGATACAACTACGACTGGACTGCTACGACTACGGTCACCAGCACTACTGATGCGTTTATGTTGACTACTGTCGCTACTGCGACTGCGGCTGCTACTACTACT